CCCTCACTCCACCATCCCACAATTCTCCCCCTCTTTATCCACCTTCTCCCTCTACCACCTCCACATTCTCCCTCTTTCTCCACCTCTCCCTCTCCATCCCTACGCATTGCTCTCCCTCCCTATTTCACCCTTGCCCTTTTCTCTCCTCCCTCCCACCCCTCCCTTTTCTCACCCTCCCCTTCCTCTCTCCAACATCTCGTCCTCCCACCTCTTCACCCGTTACCCATTTTTCCTCTCGCCTCCCTCTTACCTCCCTTTTCTCTCCCATCACCTCTCCAACCCCCTCCTTATCTCACCCTCCCTCCCTCTCCACTCCAACCAATTCTCCTCTCTAACCTCCCCTCTTCTGTCTCCCTCACCCTCCTATTCTCCTCCTCCACCCCTCCCTATTCTCTCGCCTCCCTCCACCCCTCCCTATTCTGCTCCCTCCCTGCCACCCCTCCCCCTATTCTCTCCCTCCTCCACAGCCTCCCTATTCTCTACTCCATCCCTCCACCCCTCCCTATTCTCTCCTCGCCTCCACCCCTCCTCTGATGCTCTCCCTCACCTCCACCCCTCCCTATTCTCGTCCCTCCCTCACCTCTCCACTCCACCATTCTCTCCTCCTCACCTCTCATCACTCCAACATTCTCTCCCTCCCATCCACCCCTCCAATATTCTCTCCCATCCCTCCAACCCTCCCTATTCTCCCTCTCCCTCAGATCTCCCCGATCTCCCCTATTCTCCCCTCCTCTCCCCATGCTTCCCTATTTTTCCCTCGCCTCCATCCCATCTCTCCCTCCCTCCCATCTCTCCTCTCCTACCCCATCTCTCCCTCCCTCCCGATCTCTCCTCCCTCCCCAAAATCTCTCCCTCCCTCCCATCTCTCCCTCCCTCCCCAAATCTCTCCCTCCCTCCCCATCTCTCCCGTCTCCCCCATCTCTCCCTAATCCACCCCTCCCTATTATCTCCCTCCCTCCTCATCTCTCCCTATCCACCCCTCCCTATTCTCATTCCTCCCTCCCCATCTCTCCCTATCCACCCCTCCCTATTCTCATTCTCCCTTTCTCTCCTTCTCTCCCTCCGCTCCCATCTCTCCCTATCCACCCGCTCCCTATTCTCTCTCTCCCTTCCCTCTCTCATTCTCCCCCTCTCCTCGCCGCGACAAGTGTTGACCCTCCACGAGACGGGTCAAAGGGTCATCTTTAAGTTCCGAAACAACGCATTGATCAAAGACACACACACACACAAACACAACACACACACACACACACACACACACATCACACACACACACAACACACACTACACACACACACACACACACACACACACACACACACACACACACACACACACACACACACGTACGTCCCGTGCATTGACATTATTGGGAGTCGACCTTTGTTTTGTTTTTCTCGATTGATTTTATTCGATTTTTTTGTCTTTTTCGCTCATTCCCCTTTTTTTCTTGTTTAGTATCCTTGTTTCTCCACCTTCATTCATATATTTGCTTGTGTGTATATATCCATCTCTGTCTAGATCTGTTTATCTATTTATCTATCTTTTTATCTATCTTTATCTATTTATGTCTATTTATATCTATCTATCTATCTGTATCTATCTATCTATTATTCCTTTGTTATCCGGCGTAGAACTTGAAATGTTGATTATTTTTATTTTTTCCTGTTCAGTAGTCGTGCTGTGAGGGTGATGTGCAAGGACTTTATCCCCCGTGTTGTTGACAGAGTTGGAGGAATGTTGGCTGCTGCTTACGGTGCGCGAATCGAGTTCCGTGGGAGAGGGGCACAGGTATTTCGGTTACAATAAAGAAAAGAGAAGAAAAAAAATGATAATTAAGGTTTATTAGAAATTCAAGTCTAACCCCTCTCCTTTACGCGCGCACGCACGCGCGCACGCACGCGCAAACCAACTCACACTCAACACCCAACACACACACAATCACACACACACACACACACTCATCACACACACTCATCACACACAATCACACAACACACACACTCACACACACACTCATCACACACACACACACACACACACTCATCACACATACAATCACACACACTCATCACACACACTCATCACACACACTCATCACACACACAACCACACTCACACTCACAGGGAAGGTCATGCCAGACACCGGGGAAGCGCGCCAGCCCCGGAGAGTGAAGTAATGCTTGCATACCATGCCCCCTTCCCCTTTATCTCCCCCTTTGGCTTCCCCGCCCCCTGCCCTCCCTTGTCATTTTCTTCCTTTTCCCCTTCCCTTCTCCGTTCCCTATCCGCTTTCCCATTCTTATCCCTTTTTATCATCTTCCTTCCCCTTCCCTTCTCCGTTCCCTATCCGCTTTCCCCTTATTACCCCCGTTTATCATCTTTCCTTCTCTTCCTTCTCCGTTCCTATACCTTTCCCTTCTAATTCTTTTATCATCATCCTCCCCCTTCCCTTGCTCCATCTTTCCTTTCCCTTCTCCTTCCTTCTCCCTTCTTCCTTCCTCTTCCTTCCCTCCCCTCCCCTTCCTGGCATCTTACCCTTCTCCTTCCCCTGTTCTGGCACCTTCTTGGCATTTTTTTTGGCGTGTTTTGTCAGTCAGAACCGCGTTAGGCATCGAGAGGAGGCTTCGGAGGCAAACAGGGAGAAAGAGAGGGGCGGGAAAAAAGAGTTGGGAGGGGGGAAGGGAAAGGAAAATAAGCACGTGTAGTTTGTGGCGACATTGGCTGACGGGGTCGAGTTGTTTACGTTTCGAATCGGGTACAGGTGCACCCGGCCAAGTGAGGGAGGAGGAGGGGAGGGGTGCAGGTGGGTATAGTGTGGGGGGATGGGAGGGGGAGGGGAGGAAGGGGGATGGGGAGAATGATACGTACTTTCCTCTCACCTTTTGCTCGGGGGGAGAGAGAGAAAGGAAGGAGAGATGAACGAATGGGGAGGGAGGAGCGAGTAGATGTAAAGGTTTAGCGACGGTGAAGGAGACGGTGAATTGATTGAATTGATACAACCAAGAGGGACAGAGGTGTGATAAAGGAGGGGAGCAGAGCTAACCGGTAACCAGGGTAAGACGAAGGGGATTAAACATCGTGCAACTCATCATTGGTCACAAGGAAGAGTTTCGGCTCCGTGCATGGCAACACCATGATAAGTGCATTTCTTCAAGGGTATCAGAGGCGCTGGTCACCAAGCACACGAGGAGGGACCACTTCCATCCTCCTCTAATCCTTTTTGTCTGTGGCTGTGACCCCCTCTCGCCTCCTCTCTCTCTCTCTCTCCCACAACATCCCCTGCCTGCAACCTGAGTTTTCTGTGCCAGTCTTAGACTTTCTCCCCTCCTCCCTCCTTCCCTCCTTCCCTCCCTCCCTCTTCACTGGGGCAGCTGGCGGCGTCACACAGGCGCTTGCTTGAACGCTTGGGGCTTCGTTAAATCGGGGTCGAATGCGGGATGAGTCGAGCGGGCTGAGAAACGGACGATCTTCGCTCTGGGTCCAGATCGCCCCGACCCCCCCTTGCCTTTTTCGAACCGGTCCCGTCGGGATGCGTGCCCGTCCGTCAGCGGATACGGTCTGCGCTGGCGTCGAAGGGACCGTTAACGAGTCGAAACGCTAGTAAAAAAATGTCTGGTGTGCCTCGCTACGAGTGAGGGGGCGGAGCAAGGCGCGTAGTAGTACGCCGTCCGCGCCGTGACCTTCGGGTGTGGCGGCCACGTGGGTCGGCGCGCACTTGTAAACAAAGCGGGGCGAGGGGCAGATACGGAGAAAGAGGGAGAGGGAGAGGGGATAGGGGAGAGGGAGAGCAAAGGGGGGGAAGAGAAGAAGTGGGGAGGGGAAGGGGAAGGGCGGGTGAGAGAGGAGTGAGGAGAGGGAGAAGGGGGGAGGGTGTGAGAGCAAGAGGAGAGGGAGAGGGGGGAGAAGAGGGGAGGGGTGAGGGAAAGGAGGAGGGGGAGAAGGGGGGGAGAATTGAGTGTGGGGTGTGAGAGCAAGGAGGAAAGGGAGGAGGGGAGAAGGGGAGGGTGTGAGAGCGAGGAGGAGAGGGAGAAGGGGAAGAGAGAGGAAGGTAAAAGGGTATACCCACCATCCTCGCTGACCCTTCTGACTTTTTAGGTTTCTCCGGTATGTGAACAAGATTTTAGTTCGTTGGAGTAGGCTTATCAAGGGGAGTAATATACGTTGCAATATTCAGTATCAAGATCTTTGTATTAAAGACTATTAATAAAAATAAAATGCAAGTCAGACGCGAAAGAGTAAAGTAAATATCAAAAAGAAAAAGATGAGAACGAATGAGAACCATTGATAAGAAATTAGAAGGTGATAGCGATAGAAATTAGGGTAGGAGAAAGGGGAGGGGGAGGGAGGGAGGGACGGTGATAAGGCCAAGTCGTATGCAAGGTTGTCGTTGTGGGCGTCCCGTTTACTCGTCAGGAAACTCACGCCTTCTGTCTGGGTCAGCGTGACTTGATCTCGATGAAATCCTCTTTATAAATGTCTGCGTTGTAAGCACGGTGGTATTATCGTTATCTTTTTTATGCTACATTGATGCGTTTGGAGGTCGCTCGGTCCGCCTGTCTGTCGTGTCTATTTTTGTCTTTCCTCTCCCTCCCATCTCCTCCCTCTGTCCCGTTTTCTCCATTTTCCCTCTGTCCCATTTTCTCTCTTCTTTCCTCCTCTCCTCACCTTTCTTTTTCCCTTTTCACCCTTTCTATTTTCCTTTTCTTCCCTTTCCCTCTTTTTCTCCACTTTTCCCCTTCTTGCCCCTTCCTCCTTTTTCCCCCTTCTTGCCCCTTCCCCTTTGCCCCTCTTCCCTTCTTGCCCCTCTTCCCCTTCTTGCCCCCTCTTCCCCTTCTTGCCCCTCTTCCCCTTCTTGCCCCCCTTCTTGCCCTCTCCCCTTCTGCCCCCTCTTCCCCTTCCCCTCTGCCCCTTCCCGTCTTCCCCTCTTCCCCCCCCCCTCGCCCTCCCCCCCACTCAGCACATAGTACGCTATCTCTAACAGCTTGCACCTCTTTCAGGATCTCGTACTGCTCGGCGGACGCCCACTACGACCACGTCTTCGCCTTCATCGCCACCAGTGACAATGAGATCTGCGAGTGCCACGCTTTCTTGTGCCCCAAGAGGAAGATGGTGAGTCGTCTTGGGTCGTCTCGGGTCATTTTATTAGGGTTTCAGGCGTCTTAAAATGCATTGATTGTTAGTTGCTTTGCTGGCGAGTCGTCTAGGGTGGTCCAGAGTCGTCTTGGGGTCACTTTGCATGGGTTTTTGGCGTCTTTGAATATATTCTGTGTGGTTTACCAGTGTTTACATGTAATTTGCACCTCGTACTTTTATTTTCCAGGCTCAGGCGGTAACCATCTCGATTGCTCAGGCTTTCAATTTGGCTTACGAGTATTGGAAGATGGCGGTGGAGAGCAAGAACGGGGAAATCTATGCAAATGAGGAACTCCCTGCTGAGGTTAAGGTGAGTGTTGGTTGTTGGTCAAAGCTGCAGATTGCTCACCCGTAGCAGCACGGGGACATACACATTGTTTGTATTTACCTCTGTCTTTTTTTGTCTTTGTCTGATTTTCGTTCTTTTTCTCTTTTATTCTCTCTTATTTTCTCTCACTCTCACTCTCACTCTCACTCTCTCACTCTCACTCTCTCTCTTCTCTCTCACTCCTCTCTCTCTCTCTCTCTCTCCCCTCTCTCTCTTCTCTCTCACTCCCTCTCTCTCTCTCTCTCTCCTCACTCCTCTCTCTCTCTCTCTCTCTCTCACTCCTCTCTGTCTCTCACTCCTCTCTCTCTCTCTCTCACTCCTCACTCTCTCTCTCTCTCTCTCTCTCACTCCCACTCTCTCTCTCTCACTCCCACTCTCTCTCTCTCTCACTCCCACTCACTCTCTCTCACTCTCACTCACTCCTCTCTCTCTCTCTCTCTCTCTCTCTCTCTCTCTCTCTCTCTCTCTCTCTCTCTCTCTCTCTCTCTCTCTCTCTCTCTCTCACTCTCACTCTCTCACTCCCACTCTCTCTCTCTCACTCACTCTCTCTCTCTCTCACTCCCACTCACTCTCTCTCACTCCCACTCACTCTCACTCCTCACTCCTCTCTCTCTCTCTCACTCCCTCTCTCTCACTCCACTCCTCTCTCTCACTCTTTCACTCCCTCTCTCTCACTCTTTCACTCCCTCTCTCTCACTCTTTCACTCACTCACTCCACTCCCTCTCACTCACTCTTTCACTCCTCTCTCTCACTCACTCTCTCTCTCTCACTCACTCTCTCTCACTCTTTCACTCCCTCTCTCACTCTTTCACTCTCTCACTCTCTTCACTCCCTCTCACTCACTCACTCTCTCTCACTCTTCACTCCCTCTTCACTCTTTCACTCTCTCACTCACTCTGTCACTCTCTCACTCACTCTTTCACTCCTCTCACTCACTCTTCACTCCCTCTCACTCACTCTTTCACTCCCTCTCACTCACTCTTTCACTCCCTCTCACTCACTCTTTCACTCCCACTCACTCACTCTCACTCACTCTTCACTCCCACTCACTCTTTCACTCCTCTCACTCACTCTCACTCCTCTCACTCACTCTTTCACTCCCTCTCACTCACTCTTCACTCACTCACTCTTTCACTCTCACTCACTCACTCTTTCACTCCCTCTTCACTCTTTCTTCACTCCCTCTCACTCACTCTTTCACTCGTCTTCTCACTCTTGTTGTTTTCAAGTACAACTGATAATGCTAATAGCTTTTGTTGTTTTTGTAAATCAGGGAAATATTTACAGTTCAGGAGGTCACGACAGTATGAAAGTGAAAAGCTAGAGAGAAAAAACAAACTATTTCATTATAGTTACGTCTCAGATCTTACTAAATCCATATCTGAAACATAATTTCTCAACTTGATACTAAACATCAGACTAGAAAATAAGGTTATACCAGGTTCTTAAATTTAATTTCAAATACTCCCTAGCAGCTGGCTCCAGGTGGGGCAAACCACACGCCTGGCATAGTCCAACACCAGCCGTCCAGCCAGTCGTCTTCACCCATTCCCATTCGGTCGGACTTTGGTTCCTCCGACACCAGCTCGTCAGGTATGGAGTTGTTCGCTGTTATGGTCCTCTTTTGTTCTTACTCTTCTCCTTGTCTTCTAGTTTTGCATTTTTTCCTCATTGCCCTCCTCTTCTTCTATTGCCTCATTTTATGGTTTCTCCACCTCCTGCCTCCCTCCTCCTCTTGCCTCAGCTTTCTCCTCCTCCTTTCCTCTACTTTCTTCTTCACCTCTTTTCTCTGCGTCATCATCCTCTTCATCTGCTTTTTTATGCTTCCTCTTCCTCTTCATCTTTTCAGTTTCCTCTTCCTCTTCCTCTTCCTCTTCCTCTGCTTTTCTCTGCTTCCTCTTCCTCTTCCTCATCTGCTTTTCTCTGCTTCCTCTTTCTCTTCCTCATCTGCTTTTCTCTGCTTTTCTCTCCTGCTTTTCTCTCTGCTTCCTCTTCCTCTTCCTCCTCTGCTTTTCTCTGCTTCCTCTTCCTCTTCCTCCTCTCCTTTTCTCTGCTTCCTCTTCCTCTCTCCTTTTCCTCTGCTTCCTTTTCCTCTTCCTCCTCTCCTCTTCTCTCTTCTCTTCCTCTTCCTCTCTCCCTCTCCTGCTTCCTTCTTCCTCTTCCTCCTCTCCTTTCTCTGCTTCCTCTTTCTCTTCCTCCTCTCCTTTTCTCTGCTTCCTCTTCCTCTTCATCTGCTTTTCTCTGCTTCCTCTTCCTCTTCATCTGCTTTTCTCTGCTTCCTCTTCCTCTTCATCTGCTTTTCTCTGCTTCCTCTTCCTCTTCATCTGCTTTTCTTGCTTCCTCTTCTCTGCTTTTTCCCTCTTCCTCTTCATCTGCTTTTTTTCTGCTTCTCTTCCTCTTCATCTGCTTTTTTCTGCTTCTCTTCCTCTTCATCTGCTTTTCTCTGCTTCCTCCTCTTCATCTCTCTGCTTCTCTTCCTGCTCTGCTTCCTTCTTCTGCTTTTCTCTGCTTCCTCTTCCTCTTCATCTGCTTTCTTGCTTCTCTTCCTCTTCTCTGCTTTTTCTGCTTCCTCTTCCTCCTGTTTTTCTCTGCTTCCTCTTTTTCCTCTGCTTTTCTCTGCTCCTCGCTTTTCTCTTTTCCTCTTTTTCCTCTGCTTTTCTCTGCTTTCTTTTCTCTGCTTTTCCTCTTTCTCCTCTTTTTCCTTTCTCTCTCTTTTCCTCTTTCTCCTCTTTCCTCTTTCTCTCTGCTTGCTTTTCCTCTTTCTCCTCTGCTTTTCCTCTTTCTCCTCTGCTTTTCCTCTTTCTCCTCTGCTTTTCCTCTTTCTCCTCTGCTTTTCCTCTGCTTTTCCTCTTTCTCCTCTGCTTTTCCTCTTTCTCCTCTGCTTTTCCTCTTTCTCCTCCTCCTTCCTCTCTGCTTTCTCTGCTTCCTCCTCCTCCTCTTCCTCCTCTGCTTTTCTCTGCTTCCTCTCTCCTCCTTCCTCCTCTGCTTTTCTCTGCTTCTCCTCCTCCTCTCCTCTCTCTCTGCTTCCTCCCTCCTCCTCCTCCTCCTCCTCCTCCTCCTCCTCCTCCTCCTCCTCCTCTCCTCCTCCTCCCTCCTCCTCCTCCTCTCCTCCTCCCTCCTCCTCTTCGGTATAGTTAAAAGTGAAGATGAAAATGAGAGTATATAATATTGTTCATTTAGAATGCATCAATGTGATAGTTTGTCATTTTTGATATATGCTAAATACAGAAGTCTTCCTGTGTGGTAGGATTTTTTACTGCATATTTTTTACCATTACACTTGTCACAAATATTCTAACAAGGGATTACTATATTGCTTTGATTTTCTTTAATGAAGCTTTTCACACAACAGGTTACCAGTCCAGTACGCAAGCACTTTTAATTGATTTGGACGACTCGTCCGATATAACTACAGAAACTAAAAATAATGCTAGTTTAAGCAAGAGCATCATCAGTAAACCTTGGGTAAGTTTTCCATTTTTGTTGATTAACGTTTTGACTTATGCCTCGTAGGTTAGGAGGCTGTAGCATTTGTATTAAGTATGTTTTTGATTTTTTTTTTTCATTTTAAAAAGTACCATAGTTTTAAGGTAACTGGAGTTGGCTAGATTTTGTTGTACACTAACCTTAAGAAACTGAACTGCACAGATGTACATGGCATTCAGAAAAAAGTGTAATTAAGTGAAAAGAGGTGATCTAGTTAGCTCTCATATAAAGGAAATTTTATTGTAGCATTGTTTTATCTTAGTCTACAAGTAATAATGAAAATTGTATATGTCTGATTATAGAGTATTGAAAATTAATTGTGCAACATACAAAATCAGAAGCTAAGATAGTGAAGCAATATTTTAAGAAGCGGTAAGGTCTTTTTCTGCTGACAGTTTAATTTCTGCATTTATTTGACAATTGAAGTTGAATCACTGTTGCTGCAGTGTCCATTTTATTACAATTTTTGCCAATGTTATATAAGCCATGGCACTTTCTGAAGTGGATATCCTGCAATCCTTTTTGTTGCAGGAATGATTGTTAGAATTTTGTATTGCTAATATTGCAGTAAACTAAGTAGATATTGGATCCACTTTTAGATTTTTATCAATCATTTATTTGGTATCGTAATTAGTTTATCTTAAGAAATGCTGGATTTAGTTGTCACTTAAAAAGTAAGGAGAGGTGAAACTAATATGACATTTCCTTTTGTATAAGGAATAGCAAGGACCGAAATAGTTTTATAAGGCAAGTAGTGTTTTGTTAGTTTGACAGTTGTGTGTGAAGACTTGAATGTTTTTAATCAGTTGAAGGAATCTTTCCGTCTTATAATAATGACTTGATGTGAATACACCTATCTTTATACTGTTAGGGTTTGAATATACCTTGGTTTGGAGGAATTTATCTTCAGAGTAGTCCATTTTGTTTAAAATAGACATGTAATTTACACGTCCCAAGAATTCAGTTTGCAGAGAGCTAAGTTTTGGGCTTTGCCTTTGCATCGTTAGTAATGAAATGCGTGTTGAAGAATGATACCGGAGATTGCAGTTCTTGCTATCATGAATTATCATGCTTGTATTGTAGCCTTGAGGCATAATTTTCAATTTACATACCAATCTATGCATTCTTTTAGATCTGTTGCTGTGTTGTGAGCATTTTTTTCCTGTTTTGATTTTGAGAAAATATTTTGATTTGCTGCATTTATATCTTAAAGCTTTATATCATCTTATGCCATTCCTCTTCCACTGAACTGAAAAGTATTGAATGTTTCTGGATAATGAAACCTCAGACTTAAGAAAATGTTTTTTCCTTCATCTGATTATAAATTTCCTCACCCTGCTCAATTTCTGCAGGGTATTACATTCTTCCCACACTTAAATCTTCAGTGTCTTTAGTTATAAATAATTTAAACTGTGTTGTTGAACCTTGTTGTGATGGAGAATTGGCCAACTATTCTGTGTTGTCTCTGATAATTTTGTTTTCCTATTGAAGCATCAAGACCTTAGATTATGTGGTATATGATTGATGTACGTGTATGTATATTTGAAATTTAAATGGGTGGAAAAAAAAAAGTGGTAACTAGTTATTCAATATATTTTGCTTGACACTTTAGCCATATATATATATATATATATATATATATATATATATATATATATTATATATATATATATATATATATATATATATATATATATATATATATATACATATATATACATATATATATATATACATATATATATATATACATATATATATATACATATATATATATTATATATATATATATACATATATATATACATATATATATATATATATATATATATATATATATATATATATATATATATATATATATATATAATTATATATATATATTTTTTTTTTTTTTTTTTTTTTTTCCCCTTTGTATTATCATAGGCAGAGATAATACAGCATAGCTAAGAATATAGATGAGACATTTGTATGCCAGATTTTCAGCCACTGTTTTCTTGTGTTCGACTTCACTGACTTTCATATGGATAATGCTAATGATTAGATTTGAATAAAACAGACTTTATATGGATAATGCTAATGATTAGATTTGAATAAAACAGACTTTATATGGATAATGCTAATGATTAGATTTGATTAAAACAGACTGATATGAAATGATACAGAACAGGAATGCACATATTCTAGTGAGGGCAGCATGATTAATAATGTAAACTTAAAAAATTGATTTTCCATATTTATGATCCTTTGAAATAAAAGATTTGTTTTGTTAAAACTATTGTTATTCGTTGTTATTGTAAAGGGCAGTGTTTTCTTACATTGTTTATTTTATTTTTTATTTTTTTGCAATGGATGGTTTCTAATTCCTTTTATTATTAGGCGAATGTTATAAGTAAGATCAGAACATTTTGTGGATTTCCTGTTCCCTTTTTCATACTTCACTCATTGTACATAGAAGTGACAAATTCTTAACAGCCTCCTTGTAAAATTAGTATGGGCTTTATACATCATATACCATCAATTTTTTTTTCACATTTGATAAAAAATTATACTGTACCATGGAATAGGTAAAGGTTGGCCAATATCTCGTATAGTAAAGATTTCCATAAAGCTGGAATACTCCCTGGAGAAACTAACATGTAGTTTGTGTGCCTTGTTAACAGGATGCCTTTGAAGACTTCAATGAGTTTAATGAGGGATTCTCAAGGTGAGTGGCTTATATTTGATTTATTTTCTTCATTTCTTTTTTTAAACTCTCTTGAAGAGGGTTGTTTTTCACTTGTTGTCTTTACTCTGCTTACACTTTCACTGTTTGTTCACATTCCCACTACTGTTCTCATTCTGTCTTCTGCTTCTGTAATTATTAACTCCACCAACATTATGTATACCCATCCTCCTTTTCTTTGTCCATCTGTATACTCAGATTTTAAAATTTTATTCTATCTGTAATTTGTATTGTTTTTTAAGACAACTTAATTATAGAGCTTGAAACAGATGCTGTCCAATTATGAATTCTAGCAAAATATCTTTCACTGAATACATAAAATGTGAAAATATTGGGAAATAAAGAATCTAAATGGTCTGGCATTAAAGTGTATTGCTGATGCTTTGGTCTGATAAATGGAATTGCTTATATTATGGTTTATTTGTGTATTTTTCTTCTACCAAATCTGCTATGTTCACACGCTGATTGCCCTATTTTACAGACTTGCGTTGAGACACGCACAAAAATCTCCTCTCCCCTGGACATCCCCAACGGGATGGGCAGGCATCGACGATCTTGCAGCATTCACGGATCGCCCTCCAGCTTCTCCGACCGAGAATGGCTTTTGGCCGTTAGCTAGTTCTCCCCCTACCAGCCCTCTGCCTGCCAACTTGTCCTCAGGCCCATGGTCAATGGGACAGTCTCCACCAGATACCTGGGAGAACTTCTCCAGCTCTCCCAACACAGCCTTCCTTCATTCATGTCAGTCCCCTCCCTCACATCACATGTTCTCACGTTTCCCAGAGTCATTTGCTGCTGATGAAAGTGATGACTGCAGCAGCAGCAAACTACCAAACTCTGCATTCAAGCCAGAACCAACTTCCAGTCATGATGTGGATGATTCTTTTAATCCCAGAGAGTCTCTGAGTGACCCTTTCTCCCCCCTCACCCAGGAAAAGGAAGCATTGGGAGTGAGTCATAGCTCTCCCTCAACCCACAGTGGCTGTGGCACCAGCCACCCAGCCTGGAGTGGAGACCTGTTTGATGGGAGAAAAAGCAGCAAAGTTGTGTGTTCATAAAGCATTTCTGGGAGTTTTCATTTGGAACTTCCAATTCATATTTTTCCAATATTCTTGTGTGTAGTTATGTGTTGGTCTATTTTTTACTTGAATCAGCAGCTGGGATAGAATGCCAGTGTCTCCACATTTTATAATACATCAATGGTATAACTCCCTTGGGAGAGCAGTTGTGTGTGCGTGTGTGGAATTTGTTGATATACATTTAGATTTTGCACATTTTCCATATATTTAATTGAATATGTAAATATCTTTGTGAAACATGTTCAAGAATCTCCAAATGAATTCTTGATATGTATAATACAGTTTTAAGCTATTGTATGATGACAGTTTAATATATTTGCATATGCAGGATACCTGTATTTCTACCAAGAAGGTTTATGTTTGGCTTAAACTGAAATGGACTACACTGTAAGTCGGTTAATGCCAGAAACACTTGCTAATGCCTGATTAATCTAAGTTTCTTTGCAGAAGTAAATGTCAGGGTTGAGATTTTTTAGGAATGCAGGTAGAACTGTAACTTCACATAGAGATGATAATATGGGACATTTACATGGTTCAGGTTCCACTCGATTGGGTTACACAGCTGAATATTTCTGTATTATAACTATTTTAAAAATATAGTGTTAATAATAAGCCAAATGAAAAATCTTTCTCAGTGTTGGCACTTGGAGTTTGCTGAAGGCTAGTTTTGGTTGATGGGTTGGTAGGACTTCAAAAACCATATGTATATGGGATTCAACTCTCCATCTTCATCAGCATTATTTCATGTTTTCATTGATACACTACAGCAAAGGGGAGGGTAGAGAGTTTTCCATAGTGTGCTCAGTTCATTGAAAAGTACTCTCCTTTCTGTTTATAAAGTAGGAATTCTATGAAATTTCCTTTGATGTAGTGGGATGGGTATTTATATTGTGCGTAATTAGAAATAATGGATTATCTTTTTTTTTTTTTTTTATTAGTAATGCAATTTTACTTTTAATTTTTGCAGTCTGATTTTTCTGTTGAAGTGAGGAATTTTGAGATCAGAGCCTCTATTAGGGTCGGGAGTCTCCTGTTGTGTATGAATTGTAAAGATGAGTCTCCTACAAGATTGATTTCTACCCTTGTGATAATGTAGTTGTATCATTTGAAGTTTTGACATTGTTCATTTCTTTTTAAAATATAGCAATGGCCTTTTATCTTTTTTTAAGATGAAAAAATTAATAAATATATATTATTATTATTATTATTATTAAATTTTTAATTTTATTATAATCTTTAATAGGATATTATTTTTAGTACTACTAAAATAATATTGGTAATAATAATATTGATAGTGAAAATGATAATGATCGTGTGATAAAGATAGTGATTGTATTATTATTATTGTTTTTTTTGTGTTTAGTTTTATTTATTATTTGTAATTATTTGTAATTATCATTTGTTATTATTTTTTATTATTATTATTATTATTTATTATTATTTATTATTATTATCATTATTGTCATTGTCATTGTAATTTTCATTATCATCATTATCATTATTATTATTATAATTATTATTGTTATTTTCATAATTTTTGTTAGTATTATTATTATTGTAATTATTATTTTGGTTATTATTATTTTAATTTTCATTTTAATTGCTATTATTTTAATTGCAATAATTATTTTTAGTTACAATTATTACTAAGGAAAATTTTTATTGATTCACACTAATTTTATTAATTATTATTTTTATATTGTTGTTGTTTTTTGTTGTTTATTATTTGTATAACAATCATTGGTCTTTTTGTATTATACCTTGTTTTTGTTCGTCTTTTTTATTAGTGATAATAAAAGATTACGGGTTTTGTGTAAAGTTTCACTTATTTAAATTGAGAGCAAAGTTTTGATAAGGTTTGATTTATAATTTTTTTAATGGTGAATATTTAGTAAGCAGTTATCATATAGAGAATGATTATTTTAAATTGAGTCCTTCATTATTATCAAAGCTAAGATTTTATGGAATTTTTATTCACTTATTCCTTTCATTGCTTTGTTACTATTTTGATCAGTATTATCTTTATCATTATTACATTCTGCATTATGATTATTTTAATATTCCCATCAATATAATTATTATTAGTTAATGGTATTGTTGTTTACAATTTTTGTTGTTGTCATTATTTTAATTCTTCATATTGTTTTATTACATGTGGCTTTTGTAATTATTGTTGTAATTATTTTCTGTGTACAACAACAAAACATTTTTGAGGTACATTTTTTTCTTTTAATCATTATTACTATGTTTAGGATTATCATTAGTATTATTGCTGTTTGTTATTTTAATGAACTAATATGTATTTTTTCAAATACTGTTAATTATTATTACTCATTATTTTTTATTTTTAAAAATCTATAAAAAAATCCATTTGTTAAACTATTTTTAGGTTCTTTATTTTTTATTTTTTATTTATTATTTAATTACTTTTGAAGCTAAACTGTAGAGTAGCAGCATCTTGTGGTGTCACATTCATCACTGGTAATTTTCATCACTATCTTTTAATCACTTAATTTGTTTTTCATTATTAACCAGGGATAATATACTCATGATGATGTGGGCTAAGTCCATCCCTGTATTTTTTTTCCATTTTCCCAAAAAAGGGCAGGAAGTGTGTGGTATACTATTTTGTGGTTATCAACCCAATAGAATTGGTCTTGTTTATAGGTTAAAATTAGAGCGATAGATTGTTAGCTTCCTATGGCCTAGAAGTAATATTTGATTTTGCTAGTATTATTTTTTTTTGTTTTTTGTTTGGTTTATTTATTTCTAGTTAAAGCAACACAGATTGCTATTTCATGGGAGTACGCATTTGCATTCAAGAGGCAGTTAGGTTTCTTTTTTTTATAGAATGATTTAATGCTTCTATTCTGTGCAGTGTTCATCATATAGGCACCACGAAAATGAGCTACATCACCAGAGCAACACCTCGGATTCTTAAAATACCCTTATACACACCCTAGTATTTATCATCATCATGGTTTCATGTGTGAAGAACAGCTGGTGCCTACCAGTTTGTAATACTACAAAATTGGCTGTCATTTTTTTAAGGTTGTACTATTGTCATAGTCATTTTATTTTATTTTTGATAAAAAAATGAAAATGAAATGACATGGGACTTCCAAATGACCACAGGCTTGAACCCTTGGGTTGTCTGAGGTGAACTTTCTCCCCTGGTGGAAAAGTTGTGAAGCAGCAGCGAGTCCAGTGCAAATGGAGAAAGGGAAAAAGAGATAATTTTCAACTAAAACTTAGTTGTATAATTGTAAATAGCTGATGTGCCATTGTGCGTGGAAGTGTTGTGCGTTAGGTATATCCCCTCCTTGTTATACAACCTGGAGGTTTGGGTAAAAGAGTAAATGTATAATGTATATATTGAATTTCCAGTATGTTGCTCTTGAAGTATTTTTTGGGTGGGTGGGTCAGATAAGGGGAATGGGAAGGGGGGAGGGGAAAGCCCAGGTGAAGTGAACTAAAGTAAGGTTTAGTTGTAAGGTCTAGTGATAAGGTGATTATTGTGTTGTTTAGAAGTATCAGAAGAGCCAAATTTAAGCAGGTTATTTATATATAGTTTAATATATATTATATAGGTGGATTAGATGCGTGAAGTGTGTTCATTGGCTGTGCATTTCGGAGTAAAAAAAAAAAAGAATTTTTTGACAGTGAGAAAACATCTGAATATTTTGCTACTGTGGTTTATAGATTGTTATTCATTTCCTGCTGCAAGAGATAATTTAATAGGAAGCTTGAGAGTATTTATATTATGTTAGGAACTGAGATATCCTTTATCAAGTGTTCCATTTAGGGCAAATATTACTTAATATGTAGTGCAATATTTTTTTTAAGTCCTTGGTACAAACTGAGTATTTATAAGTGTTTATATAATGGTGATATTTAAAACCACCTTGATTTTAAAATGTCATGAGCATATAGTGAAAAAATATGAACTTTTGTGTTCTTTGGAGAAGACTGTCAAAAGCAGTTTTCTTTGATAAAAGCCCTTTAATTTTTTGTATTTAGTTCAGGAAAATATTTAATTTTTTATGGATATGATTATGGGCTAAATCATTATTAAGTTAAACTGTTCAGATTATTTCCTTTGTATTTTTTTTATCAAAATTTTCAGTATACTGACATGAATTAGATATGTTATTGCAAGGTATATGAATTGTAGGATTTTTTCAGCACATTGAAACTGTATAATCAAATGTTATTGAAGATCTGTTTTTCATGTACTGAACAAATTACAAAACTCCCCAAAATATATATAATTTTTATTAATTTAATTTGCCTACTGTGGGTGAACTACAGTTTATTATAGGTTCCTTTTTTGATAATTTTTTCCCCTTGTATAAAGTGACACATGCAGGTATTTCAGTACAAGTTGATTTTGGTGTTGGGTCATACTAGAGGAGAAGGATGTTAGGAATGCACAGAATACCTGGAATTTGATATAATCTCATAAGGTTAATGTAAAAGAAAACAATATTATTTTCAAGTGTATGTTGGTAGTTTCATTTACCTGTGTCCCCCCCCCCCCATCCATTTCATAAGGTGGGAGTGCCGTGTTGAAAGATTGAAAGGATGACTTTGTGCCAGTCATGAACGTCCTGCGGGAGCCATGGTCATGGTATTCCCATGTCTAGTTGTCTAGGCCTTATTTCTCAAGGGGACCCTGAATGGTGGACCATTTCTCTCCCCAGCATACTCCAGGCTTACCATGGCCAGTAATGAAGATTTTGTACCATTATCTGGGGCAGTGAGGCTTGTCCCTTTATCAAATGTTTCCACTGATTTTAATTCATCCAGCTCCCTGATCCCAGGTTCTTCTTTGACCACGACTCTTGAACGCTGTTACTTTTCTCCTCAATGCCTACGAGTGCATTGCCCACCCAAGCAAAGACTCAATCTCCAGAAGACATTGTTACCCTCCCAACTTCCTCAAATTCATCAACTCTACCCCTACAATCCTCATCAAACACCCCAACATCCCTTATTACTACCTTACAGCCTTATTCTCCATCTCTCCGTAATACTACCCCCTCAACAACACTCCCGATTCCACACGCCCCCGTCCTTCTACCACCACCAACCCTACAAATATCTTAACTACTACAGCTCCTTACTCAGTCAACACACTTCTCTTTCAATACTTTCTCCAAAAACATGTAGGCAGAGTCCCTTTCCGTACCCGATGCGATCGCTCCCGTCTCGTAACAGTCGGATCTGAAGCTGAAGCTATAGCATTATCAAAACTAACTGATCTCTCTGGCAACCCCATCCTTACAGAACCTCATCCAACTCTTAATACTTGTACCGGAACTGTCT